CTCTTGCCCAAGCCATTCTACCACCTCAGCCTCCCACGTAATCGGGACTACAGGCGTATGCCTCCATTTTTTGAGAGTATATGGTCTTATTATGTTGCCTAGGCTGTTCACGAACTTCTGGGCCTCGGCCTTCCAGAGTACTGAGATGATAGGCGTGAGCCACCGTACCCGGCCTGTGTGACACATTTTGTAATTGTCCCACAGTTCTTGGAAATTCTGTTCTATTTCTTTCAGTCTTTGTTGTCTGCTTTTCCATTTTCAAAGTTTCTCTTGATAATATCTCAAGCCTAGAGATTCTTTTCTCAGCTGTGTCTATCTACTAATAAGTCCATCACAGGCATTCTTTATTTCTGTTTCAGTGATTTTTTGATCTCTAGCATTTCTTTTTAGTTTTTCTTTGGATTTCCATCTTTCTGCTTACATTCCCCTCTGTCCTTAAATGCTAGCTACCTTTCTATTAGAGCTTTCGGCGTGTTAATTATAGTTGTTTTAACTTCCTGGTCTGATCATTCCAACATCCCTGCCATGTCTGTTCCTTATTCTTGGTCTGTCTCTTCAAGTTGTCTTTTGCCTTTTGGTATGCCGTCTAATTTTTTCTTCATAGTCGGACATGTAATGTTCTAGGTAAAAGGAATTGCTGTAAATAGGCTTATAGTAACCCTCATGGTAAGATGACAGGGGAGGAGAAGTGTTCGCTAGTCCTGTGATTAGGTCTTAGTCTTTCAGTGAGCCTATGCCCCTGGACTGTGAACTTCACAAGGGTTTCTTGTTTTTTCCTTCCCTGTTAGATGGGACAGGATGACTAGAGTGGGCAGGAGTTGGATATTTCCTTCCCCCAGGTCAGTTAGGCTCTGGTTAACTAGTTTCTCCTACGGGAAGGCCTTGTTAAGAAAAGTAGTGCTAGGTCATTTTTCAAAATGGTTTCTTTTCTCCTCTACCAGCCAGAAGCAGAAGGGTTTATTTCTCTGATATTTAATGTGGGGACCTGGCCAAGCTACTGGAGGTAAATCTCACAATATTGTAGGAGTTGGCCTGTGACTGGGTCCATCTGGAGTTTTTAACTCTCAGACTTGTCTGAGCCTCCAGCAGTTCATCAGTTAGAGTTCAGGTTTTCTTACTTTAGAGTTGGTTTCTCACAGCAGTTTCCACTCAGGAGTCTCTGCTCTGTTAAGCCATGCCTTCAAGTAGGGAGTCTGTGGTCTCTGCTCTGGGAAGCCACAGCTCCCTCTTTTTTCCTTTCTGTCTCTCCAGCCCTGGGGCAGTAGTTTACCTTGTATCTTCCCCTCTTATAGGTCCAATAAGAGTTGTTGACTTTTCAGACTGTTGACCTTTTACTTGTTCGAGTGGAGTAGCAACTTTCAAGCTCCTTAAATGCAGAACCAGAAACTGGAAGTTTCTCCTCTGCCTGCTTTTCACTTAGGTTTTTTTGTTGCTGAGTTGTAAGAGTTCGTTATATATGCTAGATACAAGTCCCTTATCAGATATATGATGTGCGTATATTTTCTCTCATTCTGTGAGTTTTTTCACTTTTTTATTGGTATGATTTGCAGCACAGACGTCTTTAATTTTGATGTAGTCTATCTTTTTCCTTTGTCACTTGTGCTTTGACGTCATGTGTAAGAAGCTCAGCAGTGGCTGGGCACAGTGGCTCATGCCTGTAATCCCAGCACTTTGGGAGGCCAAGACGGGCAGATCACCTGAGGTCAGGAGTTCAAGACTAGCCTGGCCAACGTCACAAAACTATCTCTCTACTAAAAATACAAAAATTAGCCGGTTGTGGTGGCAGGCACCTGTAATCCCAGCTACTCGGGAGGCTGAGGTAGGAGAATCACTTGAATCTGGGAGGTGGAGGTTGCAGTGAGCCGAGATCATGCCACTGCACTCCAGCCTGGGTGACAGAGCGAGACTCCATCTAAAAAAAAAAAAAAAAAGCTCAGCAGCATGAAGTTTACTTCTGTGTTTTATTCTAACAGTTGTGTAGTTTTAGCTCTTACTACATTTAGGTCTGTGATCCATTTTGAGTAAATTTTGTATATGGTATGAGGTAGGGGTCCAGTTTCATTCTTTTGCCTATTTGTTGAAAATACCATTATTTTCTCACAGAATTGTCTTGGCACCATAAATGATTTTTGATGTGTAGGTCTTAGATCCTAGTTTTGAAACCATTACTGAACATCCAGGTAGCTCCAACTATGGTGATTTACCAGATGTCATATCCTAGAAAATCCTTGTGGAGTTCACATGTCATTTGCAAGCTTTAGTCATTTCCATAATGAGGCATACTCAGGGTCTGCCTAACCAAATTGTCATTTGCCAGCAGAGAACTTAAAGTACCAAAGAAGGGCCTAATTTTTTTCCCTGATGTCAAATTAAAGCTCTAAAGTGCCTCAGCTTTTTATGATTGTAAATTATCAGTCTATCTAGATGAATTTTAATTAACGTTTTCTACCTTTGCCACTTATCAGATTAATGAATTCTGTGTGTTTAATACCTGTCCACATTTGTCCCTATCAAGTTTCAAAGTATGCTTTTTAGAAATTAGAACAGTTCTTTGAATTCTGTGTGCTAGTGCAAAGAGCAAGCATAAAGTTGTGCATATGGATTAATAAGCAAATCAGTTTCTTTATAGGTAGGGAGGGAAGTTTAATTTGGATGTAGGGAAACGGCAATAGGATAAGAGCAGGACAACAGAGCATCGTTTATGATTGGGGAGCTAATGGAGGGAAGTTGTCCTGTTGGTTGAGAGGTGGGTTCTGCAGCCCCTTCTGTGGGCTGGGTAGGCTCCATGGGCAAGTCACTTACACATCGTTGTCCTGGATTATCTCCTCTGAGTCCGTTCTACAAAGGAGACTCTTTAAAACCATGCTTTCTACCTATGGTAACAGAGCTGATGAGAGTTTAATCGATGCTTCTTTTAAGGGTTTGAGATTTTTTAATTGGTTTTGGTGCATTGGGTAATTAACTTCTCAGTGATCAGTTTTCTGCATACAGTCATCCTTCAACCCACAGAGGCCCTACCTTAGGCCTCTGCTCTCTTTCCATGTCCAGCCATCCATGGTATCCCACACCTCTTCATTCATTTTCTTCTTAATTAACTAAGGACATAGAGAGGAGCACTGCCCCAGGTGTAGTCCTGAGATGCTATCTCATGTTCCTAAATGCAAGAAGGCTGTTGTGTGCCTTAGACAAATTGCATGTGTTAAGCTGCTTTGAGTTATAGCGCTGTCCATGAGTTATAGTGCTGTGGCCATGAGTTTAATGTTAATGAATCAGCTATATGTTAAATAAGGTGCCTTTAAACAGAAACGTGCATTAAACAATGTTATGCATTGATCAGTTGAAGATGTTTTAGGGGCTCACAGGAACCTAACCCTGTATATCCCCTGTGAACAATGCTTTAGTATTCACTAATTCAGTATTCACAACAGCATAACTATCATGGATAACAAGAATTAAATGTATTTGTCATGTAATGGGCACTAACACTGGTTGCCAGTGACTTTATCAGATTAATTTTGTGCCATGTATGATAATGTTTTAAATTTTAAGTTTTATGTATTTCTTATATGTGTATATATATAATGTATAGCCATATATCTAATAATTTATATATTTGTGAGTTCTTTATAAATTGTTTTAGGGTAAAAAAGGGCATTTGGAAGACTTTATGTTTGGCTTGTACAATCTGAAACAGTAAAATTTTTAAAATATGCATACGTTCCTTGCCAAAATCAACCATATTTTTTACTTTAATAGCCTTCATTTAGCGTCACCTGATTACTAATTTTAAAATGTATTTGATTTTAAGAAAATTATAGTTCCAAAGATAGAAATTTATTTTACCAAAAACTGTAAGTAAGCCATATATGCAAACTCTGGTCACTGTAATATATACATTTTATGTCACTCTCACTTTGAACCCTCCAGTGTGTCTTTTGCCTTAAAGAATTTTGACTTATCTTTGATTTATATTTATGGCAACTCTCCTGGCTTCCAGAGCCTAACAGACTTATTTGTATAGCTTTTAAAGCTAATTGATTGGCTTTTGATACTTTTGCTGGAGGAATATCTTATTAAAATCAAATGGATGAATTAGCTAATTGCATTTAACATTTGAAGGGATAAGTGAAAAGAGGAGAAAAGACTCAAGTTGATTCAAAAGCAGAATGAGAAGAAAAAATAATTGGCATATTCTCCACATCTTTCCTCTGATCAACCACATAGGAGACAAAACAAATTAGAGACTTGTCTTTGAATAGGAAGCAGATGTGCGGAGCATATTCTTACTTCAGATTTTGTTAACTGTTTTATCTTTAGATACTGATTTTTGTCTAGAGGAGAGTGTTGGAGCAACTAAAATGGAACTCATAACTTCAGCTCTTGATGGAAGTTTCCTTGATGCCTGGCACTTTATGCTGTATTAATGCCAGGAAACAAATTTTATTTCCTCCTATCTTTAGGCAAGCTGTTATTCCTCTAATACATAGTCACTTTTAACTTAGATTTTTGAGAAACAAGGAAAAAAGATTTATTCTTTGAGACCAGTTGTTGGCTAAGGCAGGCTTTTGAGCATCCCAGTTACTTGTCATTCAGCAGCTGTGTGGGAAAGTGTAAGCTACATTGTTGAACAAATTTCATAAAGGAAAAAATTTATTTCTTGATTTATTTGGTACAAATGTCTCTTTACTAAAAAAATCTTTACAAATGGTTATTGGGCATTCAGACATTTGTTTAGCACTCTGTAGTCTTATAAAGTGATTTCAATCAGGTGCCTTTCACAGAAACCCTGAAGGTCAGGGGAAATCATAATTTCCTTGATGAGAAGGCTGAGGCGTAGAGAAGCTCCTTGTTCAGAGGCGTTGCCTCTGATTTCCTGGTCAGATTCATAAGTTTCTTGCTTTTTTGTTTTTGTTCTTTTTTATTTTTTTAATATCCTTGCCTTACTGCTGTGGAGAATGATTTCTATTTTGCAACAGCTTATGTTTTTCTCCTGTGTACAGGGATATTCCAATGCCTTTAGTCAGCTCAGGAGTAGAGCATGGTAACCTGAGAGAGCTGGCACTTGCAAGAATGAAAGACCTCGGAATACAGGTAAGAGCAAATATGGTGGTCAGGCCACAGCTGTTGAGAAAAAGAGGAATCTGAAACGCAGACGACTTTGCTGCTATCACCCCTAAAACCAGACATGCGGGTCAGGTCAGAAAGTCCCCAGATGTTGAAGGCATAGTCACTGGACCATGTCGGAGCTGAAGCCAGTGGTGCAGAGGCTGCCTCCTGTTCCTTCATTCCCTTCTGCTCTCTTCTGCCTGCTCAGATTGCCAACTGCGTGCTCCATTCCAGTTTTTAAAAACAGTTTTTCTTTTGAAGTATTAGGAATTCAGTTATAGACTGAAGAAAAAGATGTGATTCCTGAGAAGAAAGTATAATCATTTGAAAAGACAAGGATTATGGGCATGAAATAATTGCCAAAACTGCTATTGCCCCACATATACCAGTCTCCCATCCCTCTGGCCATTGAAATCCCTTCTTTGGTCACAGATATTTACTAAGCATCCCCTCTGTGCTGGCCCAGGATGTAAAAAGAGCCCAAGAACCTGCAACTTAACAGTCTCTGTGGGAAATTCTTAAGTCACAGGAAGGTTTGAAACTCCAGTACTCAGGAACTTCTTAGAGCTGCTAAAGCAATAAACCAGGAGTGGTGTTGAGACCAAGGGCCGACTCCTGGGCTCTGCCTTCAGAGATTCTGGATCAGTAGGTTGGGATGGGACCAATCTGTTATCCAGCACTAGGTACATGGTTCTCATGCACAGTTCAGATGTGGGCCACACTTTGAAAGACATTATTCCAAGGATTGCCTATGGTGTTTGTGGACTTACCTAAGACATTTTATTCTCTCACTCAAATTATTATGGAGAAAATTTTTCAGATTGTTCAAGGGAGAGTTTGTGAACATTATTGGCATATTCTACCAAAAAAAAAAAAAAGTGAAGAATTTTATGTTCCAGAAAAATAGCAAATGCATTTATAGTAATTAATGGCACCAAACAAAATTGTGTGCCTGCTTTGCCTCCCAGACTCCAGCTGTTCATGTTCTCCATCTCTTCTCGCATCCAAGAAGGCCACTGACCTTCAAGAAGGTCAAGATGACTGACCTGGCCTGGTTATCCCAACAATCTCGTTGTCCATCCATCTTCTTTAACCCTCACCCCTCATAAGCCTTGTTAGCCTCTGTTAAAGTAAGCTAGGATTGAGTCCAAAGGCTGGAATTCAGTCATAGCCAAAATATATCTAGTTCCTAGAGGCAACATCTTGAGCAGAAAATAAGCACACATCAAACTCTGCCTTTAAAAAAGCATGCCAAAAAAAAATAAAGAAACAGCATGCAGGTGTTCATTAAGAACATGGAACAGTAATACATTCCCATGCTAGCTACTATATAGAACTACTGTAGTGAAAGGACAGCAGCTACATTCAGTAGATTAATAATTACAGAGATCGATCATCTTCGTCTGCTATACAGTTTTTGTTTACTGGAATTCGTGGACTCCACATCAGCAAAGTATTATCTTGAGCTAGTTCCTGGGTTGTGGAAGTAGCTTTAATTTTCTACAACTGAATAATGAGCTCTTATTTTTCTCTTGGAATTATATACATGTATAGCAGTCCTTCATAAATATACTATTAGTAGAAAAGCTTACGTGACATCATCGAATTTCCCACAGTGATCTTTTCTCACTGGAAGAAAATGTTTATGGTTTGTTCTGTAAGGGGGAAATACACCATAGGATATATAATTGAATAATTACAAGGATTTATAATAATGAAAAGGACTGTGTAATTGTAAATGTCTGGTAGCGTAGCATGCACTGTGGGTCGTAGAATAGAAGTGAGAGCCATATCACAGATGCTTGGCCATGCAGACCAGGCATTGCATTGGCATTGTCTGTAGGCAGCTCCATGCCTCCTCAGATATTCAAAGAGCCATTTGTGATTGTGCTTCAGAGTATGTAATACACGACTCTAGGTTCCTTCTCCCTCCCTCCCTTCTTTCCTTCATTCCTTCCTTCCCTCTGTCTCTCCCTCCCTCCTTCCCTTTCTTCTTCTTTCCCTGCCTTTCTTCCACAGCACCCTTCTTACAAAAAAAAAAAAAAAGCCATCTTCAACATGTACTTTTTGGATATTCCTAAAATGATACAAATATGGTGATGCTAAAAATGTTAACTGCCATAAAATGGAGAAGGTTTTAAACATTTAGGAATTTACTTTTTACTCTTTATATACATACTTCTGGATTGTACTTTCAGATAGTTATATCCCCCAGGCAAACCTGTTTCTTACTCTTATGACTTACATTCTTTACTGCTAAGATTATATTGTATATTGATCTTTTTTGAATTCTAAATTTATTTTAAAAGCAATACTGTACTACTTCATACATTCCTACTCTGGTTTCCCCTATCCTCTGATTGATTAAAGGTGGTTTTATTTTGAAATTCAGCTCTTTTATCTCATTATAAGTTATGTACAAACTTAATTTCGAGCCCAGGGTTTGGTGGAGAGGTTTAAATAAAAATAAAGATTGAATGAGTTACCAGTTTTATATTTGTGCCCTCCCCCTGCCCCGCCACTTTTCTTGACAGTGTCGAGATGTGAGAACCAGAGAAGTTGGAATCCAAGAAATTCATCACAAAGTACGGCCATACCAGGTTAGTCTCTTCATGTCGCAGAGGGCCTAGGTACTGTCCTTAGATCTTTGCCAACCCTGCGCCCACATGTTCTTAACCAAGGACAGAGCCCCAGAAGTGAATAACTAAGAGCAGAGACTAATCAAGGATTAGATACCGGTGTCAAACCATGAAAGCCAAATAGGAGAATTCTAGAAGAGCCAGGTTAGGAAAACGAAGTCTGAACCTCATTCTAGATTAGCACTGTTCAATGGAACTTTCTGCAGTGTTGGAAATGTTCTATGATCTGGGCTATCCAATATCCCATATGGTGGTGACTGTTGAGCCCTTGAAATGTGGCTTGTACAAATGAGGAACTAAATTTTTAATTTTATTTAATTTTGATTAATTCAATTGTAAATAGTCCCCTGTGACTACAAGCTACATTTGAGAAGAGTGTAGTATGATCTGCTTCTCTCTTTGTGTGTAACTATTCAGCTGTTGCCCAATGGTGATAAGCAAATGAATAGATCAGCCCTTATCCACAGGCTCCACAAAAATTAAGCATAATGCCTTAAGGCATTCATGGTATGTAATGAATTAACTTCTCTCTTATACTTGTATAATGTCTAACTGTATGCCAACTTTTCTGTAGGATTTGATTCTCTTGTGGAGCCCCATTTGCGAAAGGCTGGAATAGATGATCTCTGCATTGATGTTTCTGTTCTCAGCATGAATTAGTTAATTGACATTTTTCACATGTAGGACCTTTTGAGAGAAAAAGCAGACCCAACACAATTTGCCAAATTCTTGTGCAGTTCAGTTATTTAGCAAACATTGTTGAGAAGGAATATGTGTTAGTCTGAATTGTTCACCTTGCTCTGGGTACAATCTGCTCATCTACCGAGTGTTTCTGCATGTGGCCATGTCCATGTGTATACTTTTCTCTGTGCATGCATATTGTTACATATGGCTTCTATTTAGGAAAAGTACAAGAGCCATTTGTACAATGAGCTGAAGAGCCAAAAGCCCGTGCAGACTGCTACCACAAAGCTTCCCCCCAAAAGCTACCCTCCGTGATTGAATTTTCTTTAACATTTTTATCCCATAAATTATGCATAATATTTTAAGTGCCCTGTGGGAAGCCATACTTCCTTGAAATTTCATCACGGTGCCAGTGACCAGCATCACATTTTTCTTCCCCAAAGGTAGGTTTCAGTGGAGGCGATAAGATTAGAAGGTGAAACCCAAACCATTGAGCACCTGACAGTTTTGAGACAAAGGGGTGCTCCTGAGAGCTACACATGTGACGGATTTTGAAATTTTACATTAGAGACTCTTCATGGGGAGTCAAATGCGTGGAAGCCTTTACTGAGCTGGATCTCTGTAAGAGTCTCAAGGTTAATGAAGTTCAAGTATTTGCGAAATTATACAGTTGTTTTCCTTTTATAATAGTCCATGAACAAGGTATGAACTTTAATCTTGGTGCTATTTGAGAGTAGACAAGTAAAAAGAAATGTAATTAGTGATTATTCATTCCTTATCCCTAACTAGATATTAACCTAAATAAATACATACAATTGCAAAAATGAATTTGGTTCTTTAATTTTGAATAATATTTTTTGTGGCTTTTTACTAAACAGGTTGAACTGGTAAGGAGAGATTATGTTGCAAATGGTGGCTGGGAAACATTCTTGTCATACGAAGACCCAGATCAAGACATTTTGATTGGCCTCCTACGATTACGCAAGTGTTCAGAAGAAACTTTCCGTTTCGAATTGGGTGGAGGTGTCTCCATAGTACGAGAGCTGCATGTGTATGGAAGTGTGGTCCCTGTGAGCAGCCGGGATCCTACCAAATTTCAGCATCAGGTATCCTGTATTCCATTTCTATTTGGCTTGTAAGAAACTGCCTAAGTAGGAAAAGAGAAAAGGAATGGGGTGAAGAGAGGAGGAAGAGACAGAGGAGGAGGAGAGGGGAAAGAAAAGCATAGAAACAGACGAGCCAGTGTTTTAGTTGTTCAGAGATGTTTTCTCCCCAGATTGTATCCTTTTGGGAGGAAAGGACAAACTGAGATTCAGTCAGTTGGAACATAACAAATTGAACCACATGGAATTGGTATTTTTTTGAGATAGAGTCTCACTTTGTCAGCCATGCTGGAGTACAGTGGCATGATCTTGGCTCACTACAACCTCCGCCTCCCTGGTTCAAGTGATTCTCCTGCCTCAGCCTCCCTAGTAGCTGCGATTACAGGTGTGCACCACCATACCTGACTAATTTTTATATTTTTAGTAGAGACGGGGTTTCACCATGTTGGCCAGGCTGGTCTTGAACTCCTGACCTCAGGGGATCCACCCACTTTGACCTCCCAAAGTGCTGAGATTACAGGCATGAGCTACTGTGCCCGGCCTGCAGTTAGTATTTTTGAAAGTAAGAAATTGTCTAATACTGGCAGTCTCATATGGGTCAACTTATTGTGGAATCAGGTTAGATGGTGATGGGAAAGCACTTATGAAACACTTCCTAAGGTTAAGCCATATTATACATAGGGGAACCCTATTCTAACCCCAGACAACCTACCTTAATAACTCACTTCTTAAAATTTCCAGAAAATGTGTTAAAATCTAATGGTGGATATGATATGTGCTCCAAAATTGATGATTTAAGAATTTTGCCTGGTTTCTCAACTCTTAGAAAGTAGAGAGGTGGCCGGGAGTGGTGGCTCACACCTGTAATTCCAGTACTTTGGGAGGCTGAGGCAGGTGGATCACCTGAGGTCAAGTTCAAGACCAGTCTGGCCAACATGGTGAAACCCCGTCTCTACTAAAAATACAAAAATTAGCTGGGCATGGTGGCACGTGTCTGTAGTCGCAGCTACTCGGGAAGCTGAGGCAGGAGAATCACTTGAACCTGGGAGGCGGAGGTTGCAGTGAGCCGAGATTGAGTCAGAGTCATCTCACCCAGTGCAGTGAGCCACTGCACTCCAGGCTGGACAACAGCGGGAGATTCCATCTTAAAAAAAAAAAGTAGAGAGGTGACTAAGAAATTAAAGACATATTGCCCCAGACTTCCATCATTTAGAGATTGCCTAGAACTTACCTAAAAAGAGAATTTGAGAGGGAATTACTGTCTTCCTGTGAATAGATTACATCATTCACAAAATGCCTTTTGGTAGCTCTTGTTCAAAAGTTACACCTTTTTCAACTGTCTACTACAGTATACCTTTGGTATGAGTGAATGGTTTCTTATTCCTTACTCCCATAAGTGGGCTTTTTCACTCTTATTTTAACAGATTTTAGCAACTACTAAAGTATATAGCCTTCTTGTTTCATGGACCCCTCTTAATGAACTGCCTTCCTTTTTAATTCCCACTCCTCTTTGTTGCTCTGTGCAGGGATTTGGCATGCTGCTGATGGAGGAAGCAGAAAGAATAGCTAGAGAAGAACATGGATCTGGGAAAATCGCTGTGATATCAGGTAACTGGGGGAGGGCGAAGTTCATGATTCCTTCCCATTTTGAACTTGGCACCACAGTGAAAACTATGTTGGTACCCTCTTGCCCCTGTTGATGGTTATTACGTTCAAAATTGAGCTGGGCTGACTGGCGAAGGACTTGTGCTCAAACAAAATTTACAAAAGCAGTTTAGTGGAAAAGAGCTTTCCGAGCACTCTGAGAGTCAGGACCTGTGACCCATAACCCCTCTTCTGCACTCTGTCACACTGGTCAGCATGGTTGCCTCCTCCCTGTGCTGTGCCTAGTTACTCTATCTAAGGAAATGGAATTTGAGTGTTTTTCACTATTGTGGGGATTATCACTATTGTTCAGAAATTAAAATAGAACCTCAGTTGCCAGTACAAGCTGTTTAAAGGCCAAATTCTTGCTCTTTCAATTTTCTTCTCAGTAACTTCGATGCTGGGGAACAGCTTTCCCCTGTTTGGGAGTAAAAAAGTTTTCCCCAGCCCTCTTAGGGTCCCTGGCTGGGTCTGAAAATTAAACTGACAAAGGCAGATTAACAGGGGAAAAGCATACACATTTATTGTATATAAATTTTATGGAACAGGAAAGCCTTCATAAGGAAATGAAGACCCTAAGAAATGGCTGAACCTGAGTGTTTTTATACGAGTGCAAAGTCATGAAAAAATATGACAGGACACAGGAGTAAGAGCTAAGGGTGAGAAACGGGGATGTTTAGCAAGGCCTGTTCATTTAGATTCCTCAAGGTACCCCCTCTGCCTTCAGCAGTGAAGATGTTTGTTTGCTCCAGGTGGTGTGAGGGCACCTCCCTCATAAGCATCTCATGACCTGTGTCGGGAGAAGAAAGGGGAAAGTCAGAGGGTCCTTCCTGCATACGCCATTTTCTGATTCCTTCACCTTAAGATACTCAGTATGCCAAGGCACCGTCTTTTGGGGTAGTGTGTTCTGAACCCCATCAGGAGCTTCCCCATTTCTTATCTAGGACAGCAGGTCACTGGGGAAGTGGGCATGAAAAGGAAAACCCAGTACAGCGTGTGTGAGTGGAGCAAGAAATGACGTAGACCCCTTTCACATCTGCTGTTCCGTAGTGAACCCTTACAGAAATCACTGTTCCCAGTAGAAGCTAACAGGGTAAGAGCCATGATCAAAATGTAGGTTATTTTTCACCCAGCATGTTTGTTTTCCCACTCGAATACTACAACGTTCCTAAAGCTCAGATACGCCTTCTGAGAACATCATCTCTTCTGAAAATGAAAGTTGAAATGAGGTTTTTTTTAAAAAATAATAATAAGTCATTGCCAATCAGTAAATCAATACCCATGCTCGGGTTTTAATGATTTTAATTATGAAAATGTAATAACTCAGGCTCACTTATAATCATTTAGTGTGGTTGAGGTTTTTGGCATTATCCAGACAGATTCCTAAAAGCTTTTTTTTTTTTTTAACATGTCCAGCTTTATTTATTTATTTATTTTTTCTGTTATCTTTCACAGAAAGAAGAGGTAACTAAACCAGGCTCACTTGATTGGTACTGTTACCTGTAATAAAAAAAGGTTTACTTCTCAACTGTTTAACCTGTGGTTGATCAGATGTAGCAGGCAAGGGCCAGACTGACTTGGAACGCCTCTGCACATGCATCTGTGTAGAGTTGATAACACCTGAAATTTCCATGGCCCCTTTTGTCAGAGCACTGTCAGTGTTCTAGTAAAGTGCTTGTGAAACTTCAGTGTGCTTACAAATCACCTGGAGATCTTGCTAAAATGCAGACTCTGACTCAGTGGGCCTGGGTGGGGCCTGTGCTCCCAGGTGATACCTACGCCGTCTTCAGACCACACTTTATACACAAGCAAGGCTTTAGTATTCTCTTTCAAGTGTATTCTCTTTTCAGTCACTGAGATAATCATAACGCTCTGTGATTCTGGCAGTGCTGCACTCCTGGGGTCTGATAATAGTCATGCAACTTTCTGGTGTCTGTGGGAACCTAATCAACGTTAAAACTGAAGAGCAGGCATATTCTATCACTGCTCTGCATTATTTCATCTGCCTTCATGACATCTGTGTCTTTTTACAATGTTGCATGCAGAGAGGACCCCTGACTTGCCTGAGGTCATATCCAGTTGTTCATAAGAGCCTCAGTTTCTGCTTTTTATGAGCAGGGTGATTTCCATTTTCTAAGTGGAAATCGGCATATGTCCTCTTTCTGGCATATCTATCTCCCTAGCTTTTTATCATAGTCTAAATAATAGCTCAATTTCAGATCATCTGCATGTAGAGTTTCTCAAATAACAAGAAGAGACTTGCTCAAATTAACAGGGAAGAACCTTTCTCTTGTCGGCTGGTATGATAGATCTACTTCATTTCTATACAAGGGGTTTCTTTTGGCCAGTGGGTTTCTGTAGGAACAGTTCTGGAATGCCTTCTTGGGACTCTAGTGAGTTCAGGAGGAAGGATGCCATAAGCATTACTTCCTGTCACCCTGCCTGGAAGCCCCACCATTGCTCTCTATAGGGAAAACTATGTAAGCCTGGACTTTCTGTTTGACTTAAGCACTGGTCACTTCAAATGAAAGAACTAAGAACACTTGCTGTCTGGATGATGCATTTTTATTTCTCCAATTGAGTAATCTATTACTGTTCTGTGTAAGTTTCTGAATCAGATGCTGGAGAAGTTAGTCCATTATTCAGAACTTCAAGGAGGGCAGATGTGAAGAGCTTGTTATTATATCATGCTTTTAATGTTGTGTTTTTCTGGTTTTTGCATTTTGACTTTGGTTTCTCTGATATGAGTACAGTGTTGTGTGTACATGTGTTTTAGTTTTTTGTAAATAGTCAGTTATTCTCCATAAATTAATCCTTAGAATGAAAATCTCTTTATGATAGTGCTGGTGTCTGTGGGCTGCATTTTGTCAATGTTACCTCATTGGATTAGCTGAGAAGAGGCACTGATTTGGGTGGGGGGATGGGGGTGGGGAGGACAGGTGGCCAGGATTCCATTCCTGCTTTGCCAGTAGCTCTTCTTGTGATCTAGGATAATTTTACTTGCTCTCCATGGGCCTTTATTTCCTTATTTTAAAAAAATGGATGTGGTTATCTTTTACAGTTCTGACTCTAGAATTCCACCCCTTAGTATCTTCTTTAGTTCTCAACATGACCAATTATGTTTTCCTGATGATTAAATTGTAGGTGGGACCTTTTCTGTGCCATATTAAGGGACTCTAATTTCATCAGTAATAGATATCAGTCTCATTGTAAGTTGGGTGTTTGCTGATAAAGATGTTGATAGTTTCCCGTAGGTAATTAATCCTAGGCTTTGTGAATGCCTATTAACTTAGGTCACAACTGGCAATACTGTTTGACCTAAGTGTTTACTTTTTTTCCAACCTTGTCCTCAGTTTGTAAATCCATCCTTGTTCCAGGTATGTAGGCTTTTGTATAAGTTGTACACAGTGGTGGCCTAGATGTTCTGTCCTGGCATAAATAGTAAGCTTGAGTAAGGGAAAGACAGAATCATTTATCATTTTGGTTATTCTTGTGTAAGAGTAATGCATTTAGGTCGAATTTTTTTTAATTGCATTTTGATTCATTATGACTTCCCTTCATCTTGCCAGCAGATTTTCTCTGTAACTTGGGTTTATAATCTTGGATTCAGCCTCTAAACAATATTATGAGCTACACAGTAGATCTGATTTGAGTCACTATAGAAAGACTCTGGATATTCTTTTTTCTGTATTTAAAAACAAATTGGTTTTTTATCTGTGCTACTTCAATAGACTTTGTTTATAGGTATACACTGTGTATTTTATAGCAGATTATCTTTTTAAAAAGATGACTACCTTTATGGCTACATGAGAAAATGGAAAACTTTCTCGTGTATCAAAATCAAACAAAGCAATTTCTTGAAAGAGAGGCCTTTAGGTTTATTCTGTTTTTTTCTTAGTGAACTGTGTTTTAAAGTGAACCATCAACTCTAAATGTGAAAATTAAAGTAAAAATGAAATGTTCAGTTTCATCAGCATCAAAATCACCGTGTGTTGAGGGGTCACGTATGAAATGAAGAGACATATGAAAAAAGAAGGCGTGTGAAATGTCACCCTGCCCTGCGTGAATGTTCGTGTTGGGCTGTAGGAAACTCACTCACCTTCCCCTCATTGATTGTCTTTGACTGCAGAGGAAGATAAGTTTTCTCCTTACTTAGACTGCAGATTAGTTCGTAACTAAGAATAATTACTTCACAGTAAGAAAATATTCTTTTTTTACATATTAAAATGGACAAATCAGTGTTATGAGAACCACCAGTTTATAAAATAATGTGTAGGCAAAAAATAACAGCTAATTGCTGCCAAATATCTAAGCAATTAATTAGTCCCTATTAATTCCAAGTGATATCATTTGCCAGCTTAACCCATATATCTTCTGTCAACACACATCTGTTCAAGGTTAACAAATTATATTTACTCAGAAACCATGATGTTTATCTACTTGGATGATCAGTATTCTTTCCTTTAAAAATGTTAACATGAGCAGTTTTTGTGTCTCCTCTCTTACGATGTAAAGTACAAGGAATTATACTAGAGAAACTAACCACAACATCTGAAATGCCATCACTAATAATCACCATGGAAACGGAGATCTCTGATGTCACACTGCCTGTACCATTTCCAAAAGGGCAAATATAACTGTGATAGTCACTATTTAAAAAGCCATTTAACACCCCCAACAGAATGAGTTTTTTTCTTCTGGCAATTTTGGCTAGGTATCAGATCCAATCGTGTGACTAAACTTTCAGTTTGCCAAGCTAATTGCTATGCAGCAAGATGACCAACTATTCCCCAAGCTCCTCTGACTACCTTCATCATAAGCACTATTCTATTTGTGTCCTTTCAAGTAGAAAATTAATATGGCCATTGGCCAAGAATCGTACAAGGCCAATGGATCGCACAGTGATGGTGAGAAATGAGGAAAATGTCTGAATGGTCGATGACAGAAATCACTGAAGTCAGAGA